TTATTTCACATATCGTTTTATTTTCTTCTCTTTCAAAAACCATAACTTTCGTCTTACTTGCGTTCACTTTCATTCCCTTTTCTTTTAATGTCCTGTTCATTAATGTAACCATTATTTGCAACTCGGCTGCTGACGATGCAAGTATGACTTGATCATCGGCGTACAAAAGGTATTTGACGGTTAACTCACCCATTCTTAACCCGCATTCTTCTACTTTCAAATTTTCCAAACAACTGTCCATAAATAGGTTGAGCAACCACGGGGAAGCCACACAGCCCTGTCTGACACCTTTATGGATGCCAAACCAGTCCGAGTAGGCCCCGTTGATCCTGACACAAGCACTAGAGTCCCTATATAGAGACTTCAATGCCTGTATCAGACCAGCGCTCAACCCAAATGAGTTCAGTGTTTGCCATAACACATCCCTGTCCACTCTGTCATAAGCCTTCTCCAAGTCCATGAACGCACAAAAATCTTTTTGGTTTTTGGCCAAAAACTTCTCCGCGATCATGCGCATGGAAAAGACCTGATCCGTACATCCCATTCCCTTTCTAAATCCCGCTTGCACATCCCAAATTTTTCCATCAGGTTCTTTCATAACTCTTTCAATTAGTACCTTAGCATACAGTTTTCCCACAATGCTAAGAAGGCTGATACCACGGTAGTTTTTACAGTCTTGCTGTGATCCTTTTCCCTTATATATTGGGACTATCACGGCTTTGCACCAGTCTCCCGGTACCCCGTTAAGTTCCCAACATAAATTAAACAAGGTGTACAGCAGGTCTGCCACCACTCCTTCTCCAGTCCTTAGCATTTCGAGAGATACTCTATCATAACCGGCTGCCTTACCTGCTTTCATACTTTTCATTGCTTTCATTATTTCATCTATACTTATATCTCTATCTATTTCCCCTTCTTTCGGAATTTCTATTTCATTTAATTCAAACTTCTCATCACTTATAAATACGCTTTCAAAGTATTCCTTCCATCTCCTTAAACTCGAAACTTCGTCATTCAGAATACAGCCATTCTGGCCTCGTATAGCATTCATTCTAGGCAGTTGTGAATGTCCCCTGGTAGTTCTTACGATTTTCCAGAACATTTTAATGTTTGCCTGGAAGTTATCCGATATTCTTCTATCATTCTTATCCGTTCTTTCTTGCTTTTTCCTTTCAACTACTTCTTTTACTTTCTTATTTAGGTGTCTAAAAACTGCCTTTTTCCTTTCAATATCATCATTCATACTGCTAGAATTACTAGCCTTGTTTGCTAGTAAATCTAGCCATGCTTTCTTCTTTGCTTCAATTTCCATCCGTACCTCATCATCCCACCATAACATGTTATTTTTCCTTTTAATCGTTCTCTTACTTACACCACATACTTCGGTAGCTGCATCCACTAAACCTTTCTTGACATTATACCACACAGTCTCCAAGTCTAAATCATTCATACACAATTCAGCCATACCACTTATATTTTCTCTCAATTTACATTTGAACTTCTCTTTTACACCTTCATCTTGTAACCTCTCTGTTCTTATACGCTGTAACGCAGTAACCAAGTAATGATACGTCCCTACGTTAGAGCCCCGGTAAACCCTTGTATCTACCACCGCGCTCCTCATTCTTTCATCAACAATTATGAAATCTATCATACTTCTATCATCACCTCTTTCCCATGTATACGTGTGAATCTTCTTATGACGAAAGAAAGTGTTCGTCACAACAAGATTCTTTTCCACGCATACGGCGAGAAGGCTTTCACCATTTTCATTTATACTTTCATCACCAAAAGTTCCCAATATCCTTTCATAACCAAGCCTCCTCACCCCAACCCTTCCATTAAAATCGCCTAATATCACAATATTTTCATTAACCTTGCATTTCATTAGCACCATCTTTACCAACTCCCAAAACTGCTCTCGGATATAAGTGGGCTTAGACATGTCTGGGGCGTAGACCCCTAAAACAAACAACTTTTTTAAGCCCACTTTCATTCGTATCCATAGCAGTCTCGGGCTTACACATTCATACTCTTTCACACAATGACCCATTCTTTCTTAAAGGATGATACCGACTCCCTGGCATGCCCGCTCGGTCTCGTCTACACCACACCAGTACGCGGTATACATGCCATGTGTAGTGGCATTCTTTCCCTTCCGTTTCGTCTCATTTACACATAACACGTCTATTCCTCTATCATACATCATATCGCATACTTCATCCATCTTATCATTCATTCTTCCACATACATTCAATGTAGCCAGACAGGCTTCCGCAATCCACTTTTCGCCCCTCCGGGGGACAGAACGTGACGTGTGGCGAACCTCGTCGCCGGTTTTCCTCCCGGAGATTCTTCGCACCCCTGCCCCATTAAAGGGGCGCCGGGAACTCGGGGCCATTTCGTTAATTTAATGCCTCATGGTGCGAAAGTAAGTTGTGGTATATTTTACGCCGCTACCACACGGCGAGGAGCCGAGTCAGTTCTTTCGGCTTTGTCGCTCGTTTAGTACTACCCGGGGGACACGTGTAGGGTGGGCCTAGGATTAGGTGGTCGAAGCCTACGGACGCGAGCGACTCATCCCCTTGTTTAAACAAAACGTCATATTTCTATTTATTTGGTAGCAACACAGTAGTAAAGTTATTGAACTACAGAGGGCGTTTATTACAATAAATGGCTTAGCATGGATACTGCCACTCGGGGAAATTAAGGTGCGTACAGGTCAAGTAAAATGTTGTATAACTTTTGTTTGATAATATGTCCACATTATGTAACATTGTTTTTCAACATTGCAACATATAACAGTACACATTAGAATGACAATGCAATATAACAATGTTATATGACATTGCCGTTTGTCTTTCTGCCGATCGAGTTATATAACACGTTTAATAAAATTCAGCCTCCACGTTACTGAAACATACATATAACAATGTTTTATAACATATTATGTTATATAATGTGTACGCACCGTTAGAGTCAAAGATGTCCTTACTTTCAATGTGCAATATTTTATTCAAATATTAGATTTTACTGTCTTTATTGAAAAAGGGGAAATGACTTTCATTCCCAAATTGTCTCATCATCATCATTAGAGCTCTTCCCAAGTCCACTGCTGAACATAGACCTCACCCAAAGAATGCCACAAAAATTTGTCTCAATGCATACGAAAATCCATTTTTGCCCACCTACCTAACCATGGTACTGATTACAATATTAGCAAATGATTTAGGATCACGTAAAAAATATTTATATTATTATAGTTATCGCTCAAATTAAAAAAAAAATCACGAAGACAACTAACATGAAGTCCAGCCGTTTTACCATATTTTTACAAGATTTTTGCATCACAGCAATGAGCAACTCGGCATAATTTCTTCGAAAATAACTTCCTTTAGCTAAAGTTTAGGCACATGAATACTATCTCTCATGCGTGCCTGAGTGTGTGCGTTAACTGATAGGTACCTACAAATTGTAGATTACGATTCTGTTCGGTTTGTCGTGTCTATCGCTTATTCATAAAGAAGTTTGTGCGCTTTTTCTCAAAGGTTTGTAATGTTTGAGTAAGTTGTTTATACTTTATACTCACACACATGTAAATGTTAATATGAATTTTATGACTAATATTCTAGGGTTGCCAAATTGTATATTTGTGTACATAAACTGTTTAATTAGGCGACAGTTATTCCTTATGATTTCTTATATTTACATTGAATATAAGTCATTTTAGGGATTTTATCTTACCAGATTGTTACTCCATCTATTGGGGTCCGCATACATTTTGCTTATCGGAACGAGACTGTCACTGGAGAACCTTTCTTCCCTTAGTAAAATGTTCAGAAAACGGATGGGTGCAGGTGGCTCCAGAACGTGCCTTGTGGCATTCCTTGGGGGATGTCTATGTTCAACAGTAGACTCGTATAGTGCTTTAATAATGATGATGAAAACAGATTATACAGTATTTAAATTAAACTTATGTATAACTTAGGAACAAAAAATTTGATCTAAAACCATACACACTAATGCAATACTTCATTGCAGTATATTATTATGGCAGATTGCAAGATACCTACTGTGCGCTCTTTAAGCAGTTTTGGATGTAATAGAGATAATAATAAGAGGCTAATTTATTATGACATCGGATACTCAGCACTTCAATCCACATGACGACGGGTGCTGCACACCACTCGAAACGTCGGTAATTAAACAATGAATAAAATTAAAAGCAATAAAATCAGTAAAACAAGTTTTATTCAACGTCTGTATTTCCTTTTCATCTTGAAATTTGATGCGCAGGATACAATAAAATACTTTGTTCTCCTACAATGATGTGATGAACGTTTTTACTGAGGTTTGTATTTTTAACATCAATTAATACTGCCAGCCCTGGATCTAAATAATATTTTAGTTTTAATCGCATCCAACTTAACATTTTCTGAGCAGCCAGCTTTAACCTTGAGCGTTGTTTGTTACTATTATATAAGCTCAAATTTTGTTAGAAATACATCAGTGTTATTTTTAGTCGTCAAAATAAAGTTTTCGATTTTAAGCTTTTATAATAAAATCTCTCGCAAAAAAGGCCGCGGGCTTGAATCTGTGGCGAAGTGATATCATTACATCTCACAAAAATATATTGATCGCCAAATTTTATACACATACAAAATAATGATCCTGCTTTCTGTATTCATTATTTTACTCAACGGCTTAGTGTAAGTACAAGTAAGTCTTCACTTGTCGCCGCCATTTAATACACGATAAACGGCAGGAGCGTGTGTTTGTCACTGGGACTACTCTTAGACATTTTTTCCACGCCAATATTACAAATGTGAAAAAGCTACTTCTACTTTTTAGTGTACGTGTATGTGTGTGTGTGTGTTTTGTTTGTTTACGTTTTGTTTCGTGTTTTAAAAAACTTGTGTACGAAAAATCTGCTTATTTTGCTTTTTCAGTGATGCTTTGAGAATTAAAATAAACATCATGTATGTTAATTTTGTTGTAGAATGTTAACACTTGCCGAATCACCTTCTTCTGATAATGGACAGCAATGGTTAACTGGGCAGGTAATCAATCATTTCATATTTAGCGATATGTATGATGTTACGAGTATAAGTAATGTCTATTAGAGCTTGAAATAGCGCTAAGCTTAATAAATTAATTTTGAGTATGTCTTTGCCAACACAACTAGACCAGAACCAATAATTTGTTTTCTTGCGATAAAACTTCTAAACGTTGACTTCTAGGACTTCTATTTTAATTTCACTCAAATCTCAACATGTTGATGGACGTGATTGTGACGAACGCGTAATCTTGGTAGGCTATATAAAAACACTGAATGCAAATTTCAGAGGCTGTTGATAAGGAACAGCATTGTCAGTGCGAGGTGCTTCTGTTTTAGTAGTCACTTCTTGTTCCATTCATCCAACCATTGGAGCAAAAACATATGCCTATCCCATAGATTGACTCATAGGGGTGATTTTATCGATAGTTGCCACATTTGCTAGGCGGGTTGGCGAACGCAGTTGGTTGTAATTTTAAATTGTTATCTAGAAGATGCTTCTGCTTATCACCTGTTTCAGTTTCTCTTTGTTGCTTCTTATGACACCCACGGGGTCATTGGATATTCATACATCGCCAATACATGGTTAACTTGTTTTTATTTTTATTTTTTCTAAACATTGATATGGATTACTAGTAAGGAAGTACTTCCACACAAATTATTTTTGCAAGAATTTGTTTCTATAGATTGGCTAATACTGCAATTACCTTGCAGGTATATAACAATATTATCTGAAATTTTTATCCAGTGTTGATTTACCATGAAAAAATTTTGTATTAAAGGTCTATTTTTGAATCGGCAATTAAAATTTATTCATAGAATAAAATACACAATAAAGTCATTAAAAATTATAATTGTAAGAATGAAATAGGTGTATTATTCAGTTTATAAGGTATCGTAACACTATCGGGTTTAAACTGCGATTCTACGTTACGACGGAATTCGTCATATTATAAAACGTGGTTTATTGATAGATTAAAGCTTACACTATAATTTAATATTAGTAATTTTGATGAAACAAGTCTTGTAGCTGCAGCGTCACTATTCAGGATGTGCTGAGTATTTTATGGTGTTAGTAGATTTTTGGTTATTATTAAAATTTAAATTTAGAAAATATTTTAATTTTCAGTACGGTGAAGTACCCAAAGTGATTAATTTGTTGGAACAAAAGTCAGAAGAAAGTTCATTAAATAATTTCAAAGTTACCAATCATGCCAGTAATGAAATCTCAACAAATGGCAAAAAAATAACAAACAAATATAGGACTGACGTTTTGAACGAAGTTCCTGAAACACTTTTCAGTGACGTACCGAATCATAGAAAATTACTGTTGTTGTTACTCCAACATTTTCAACGAGGTAATCATTTACTGCTAGTCGAAAACCGGGGACTGGAAAATAAAAAAATCGCAGACAGACTATTACAACATTTGAATCGTTCTACAGAATATACGCAATTGCACAACGCCACAACGATAGAGTCTTTGACAGTACAGCCTACTGTCAAAAATGGGACCGTGGTTTACGAGGAATCACCACTAGTTAGGGCCGTTAAATATGGCTATGTGTTAGTTATAGATGAAGCGGACGAAGCGCCAACAACAGTGACAAACGCATTAAAGACTTTAATGGAAAACAGAGAAATGGCACTGAGTGATGGCAGAAGGATGATTCCCAAGGAAATTGTGAATAGTTCTGAAACCAAATCAGCTGATTTTATTCCTGTGCACGAAGATTTTAGAATGATAGTGATGGCTAGTCAAACTGGATTTCTATTTTTAGAGAAAGACTCCTCTAATTCTTTAGGTAATTTTAACGTTGTAATCACTAAATTATACATTTTTGGATGTACTTGTAGTATTTGCTTTAGTTGAAATAGATATTGATATGTAAATTGGTAGCACCAGAATCTTACGCTGCTCACCGATACTGTTTCTGCAGTTTTCGCAATTGTACTCTAGAATCCACCAGAAGCCATATAACGATTGAAACTATCTTTTGACGACATTTAAATACCAACGGTGATATGATAACTATTGAATCTGTTACAAGTGGCAAAGCCACGCTGCAGTTAAATGTAGGCTGCAATATACGTAGGACGGCTCAAACTTTACAGAACCACGCTCCTACAGAATATGAACGCAAAAAGGAAAATAATGCTACTGTTTTTTTTACGGTAAGTGACGAGAACTGGGCAAAAGGCCTTTAATCTTAATCCTCAAAGGATACAATGCATCTGTATTTTGATTCATAATAAAAAATAGATGTAGGTGTCTATGGGCTGAAGAATTTAATTTTGTCAGCAGCTTAAAAGTGGCTCATCGTCATCATTACAGTTTTTCACAGGTCCATTGCAGAACATTAGGTTTTCCCGAAGGAAAACCACAAAGCACGGTCCTAAGCCACGTGCATCCATGGATTTCCTTCCACATTATACCACGTCGTCACGCCACTTGAAAACCTTGCTTCCCATCGTTTGTCGGTTTTTCGAGCTGTATGGTCAGCCCATTGCCATATCAGCTTACTAATCAGTTGGGCTATGTCGGTTACTCTGATGCTAGTGTGGATATCCTCATTTCTAAGTTTATCACGCAGAAAAACCTTGATTAATCGCTGAGCGATTTTGAGTTTCTTATACGACCAAAACGAACGACTACATTTCAGATCCATAAGCCATCACTGGCAACATTCACTGGTTGTACAATCTTTTTTTCGTTTTCAAGTTTTGAGGTATACCTGACAAGAATATGTTTTGTTATCTCCCGAAAGCTGCCGAACCGAGTTGAATTCGTCGATTTACCTCTCGGTCGAAGTTGGATTTACCTAGTCGGACTATTTGTCCCAGGTAAACAACTTAGAGCTTAGTGCTCTCAACAACTAAGGGCATAGGTGTAACATGGACGTTACACATGGTCTTTGTTTTATCCATGTTTATCTTAAGAACTATCCGTGGGCACTATAGCCATAGGCTATCGTCAGCAAATCACAGGTGAGTGATGTACTCGCTATTGATGTATATACCGTATCCTTTCCAGTCCAGTAGCTTTATAAAGTCTATGTATAACTTGGAGTACGCTAGCGTGGCATGGAACCCTGTATATGCTGTTCAATCTCAACGCTTGGAGGGTATTCAGCGTGCGTTCACTAGGCATCTGGCATTTATTTCGCAGGGCGTGTCACACCGGTCACCATATGAGCATCGTCTTGCCTTTTTTAAAATGAAATCGTTGCGTAGCCGTCGAAGAGACCAGGATTTGGTGTTTTTGCACGGACTTGTCAACGGTAAAATAAAATGTAGTGAACTCCTGGTACGTGTTAAATTGACGGTGCCAGCTCGCATGCCCCGACATCCTATCAAAAAAACTTTTGCCTTGCCTTCTGTAAGGACTAACCTTGGACGCCATTCTCCTCTTGCCAGATGTTGCGCACAGTACAACGAGATGAATATTGATACCTTAGACATTTTCCACGACTCGTTGTTTAAATTTAAACGAAAACTGGCCAGCCTTTTGTGAACACGCATTTGTTTTCAGTTAAGTTTTGCTTTGGTGAATTTTATTATTTCATTGTTTTAAAATTTTCAGATATATATTGTGTTGTTATTTAATATCTCCTATCAATGTTGTGTACGCCTATAATAGGTATATGTATAAGTAATTGTGCTTTAAAAATGTAACTTTTATAATATGTATACATGTACTGTTGGTGTACCTTTTTAAATAAATAAATAAATAAATAAATAAAGTCTGCCAATACAGCGGTGAAGAGTTTCGGTGACCAAACGTCACCCTGTCTTACCTCTTTGCAGTTGTGTACGTTTCGTACTCTGTTTCTGTACTGGCTATCCATTGTAGCCCAACTGTTCAAATACTTCAGCACTTCGATATATCGACCGTCAACTTGGCACCGCTGAAGGGATTACAAAACCGGCCAAATTTCAATCGAAACAAAGGCTTTCTCATAGTCCACATACGCAGATTGTACTCTTTAATCTTCTGTGCAATTTGCTGAATTGTATGTATGCGGTCTATAGAGCTAAAGCCTTTTGTTTTAAACGGGCTTGTTCGTGAGGCTGAAACTCGCTGAGTTTGCGTGCGAGATGATTCGTAATGACTATATACTATCTAGAGATAACAGCACGTAGACGCGGCTCAGAAGATAAATCGGTCGGTAGTTTTTCAAAAGAGCGTTACCGCCTTTCTTGAAGAACAAGACAACTGCACTTCTGCTCCACGCCTCCGGAGTAGTACCACCATGGATGGCGAAATTAATAAGCATCTAAAGGACTTCAAGTACTGGTATCCCACCCGTTTCCAGAAGCTCTGTTCTAATTATTTCCTCGACCGGGGCCTTGTCGTTTTTTATGGTGCTGGGAGCCATTTTAATCTCGCTCAAATTGACGTCCGGGATATCATCGGAATAGTGGCGGATATAAGATTTGCTCTTGGATCCATACTCAGTCTTGCGTTTGGCTCCAGCAATGAGGTGTACATCTGCCGTTCCAGTGTTCCGGTAGTGGTGTTCCGGAAATGACGCTGCGAAATTCGGTTTTTAGCTTTAACAATTGGCTATTTCTGTAAATAATTTGCGTATGTCAGTGTCAGTTGAATGTATGCTGCCAAATTTGCTGAAGAATGCAGCTTCACTTCCCTTCTAACAGCCATAAGATTAAGAGTGTGATCGGAGAGTTTTGTGTTCTTCTGTGAAGGGTCTTTCTGAACTTAGTTCCGACCGCATGGGCAGTTTCCACGAGCTTGTCATTCATATCCTCTACTGCATTGCAGTTTTCTAGGCACTGAAAACGGTTTTGTAACTCGAGCTGCATGTTTTAGTGGTTTTGGATTAGAGCACGAGGGGGATAGGGCATTTACTTCATTATTTGTGACCTTTTGACCTTATCGTATAGGTTCAGTGTGCTTCTCACCATTCGGTGATCGCTGTCTGTTTTTACCTTCGCGATCACTGAGACATCACTGAACATCCGTCCAGTTGTCATAATGAAGTGAATCTAATTTTTTATCAAACATTGTCGCGGCTATACCAGATTCCTCTTTCTTCAAAAAGTCAGCCAGCTGTTTGCCCCTTGGTATCTGTTGCCCTATCCCAAATTTCCCTACTCTCTGCTAACCTTTCTTTCTTGTGCCTAGTTTACCTCCTCCCTCAGGGTGCGTGCGCTATATGTTTGCTGGTCTAGTTATCTTAGGTGGCAACCTTGCCTCTATCGGAGATTCTTAGCGCCCCCTGCCCCGCTCTTGCCATGGTCTCCACCGTAGCCAGGAGTAGCGGAGCCGCAGGAAACTGAGGGCCGTTTATTTGTATCATTGCTAATGGGTAGATATTTGCTATAGTTGCCAAGATTAGCAAAAGGATTGGCAACCGCAGTATTTTATTGTTATTTTGCTGTTATCAGAAAGATGCTGCCCATCTCCTGCCTCGGTTTCCCTCTGTCGCCTCTTGTGACACAGATGATGTACAGTTGATATTTTTACGTCGCCACTACACGGGATAAATAAAATTATCTGGCTCGCCACAATCCATGCGTTATGGACGAAAAATATTTATCGGGACTTTTGGGGAATAAGTATATTGAAATTAGAAACGACTAATTTTAATCGGTGTTTGTATTATTGACAGATCTCGAAGGTAAAGGTTTGCACCACTCCAGTGCGCTGCCACCGCCAGTAAATATTTCACGCCACCGCCGATTTATTTCTTGTATGTATGTTGTGTGATTTTGAAGCTTCTAGAAGTTACTTAGTTCAACTACAAATACAGTTGCTAATTTGCAATTTTATTAAATTTATAATTTTCTAACGTATTTCCAGTGCTCAATTTAGTTTCAATATTCTTAAATTAATTATTTAAACATTCACTTATTTAATTTAAAATAAATTAAAGTAGACATTGTTAAAGTAGATGCCCGTGTTGATCACCATAAACAAACCAGTTTTTATCTTTTATTCTATCCACTGTATTATTAAAGCTATTGCACTTATCGTAATCCTCTTGTTATTAACTCAAAAATATTGCCCTTATAGAGACTTAAATTACAGCATCAAGAAATAGAGAAATAGGCGTCACCGTCAAAGCAGTCGGTTCTAGTCCAAATATCGTCACTGCTGTGGTGGGTGGCCATAGCACAGGACCACATTTTGCTACAGCTGTGGCTACAGATACAGCAGTCGCCACAGCAACAGCATTAACTTATGATAAGGGAAGCTCGACAGCTACGGCTACTGCTTCGGGCTCATCGGTTGCCAAAGCCATAGCTTACTCACGCGATGCAGGAGTCGCCACCGCCACAGTAACCACTTCTGGCTCTTCAGTTGGTGACGCCATAGCAGACGCATACAACACCGGAGGCGCCACTGCCACAATAACCTGCACTGGATCATCAAATTCCGGTGCCGTAGCACGCGCACAAGACTCAGGAGTTGCCACTGCAACAGCAACCACCTCTGCCACGGCATCTCTTAATGTCCGGGCGATCGCCAGGGGTAGTGAAGTCATCACCGACACAAAAACTAAGCCCTAAACCTAAATTTGTATATACATTTTTATAAAATATTATATAAAGAAATTAGAAAAAAAGATTATGCAAATTTTATTGAAATCCAAATCATATTATTTTAACTCTTTAGTAATCTTTTCCGATTTTAAAATAGTGATGATAAAACATTAAATCCCTATACCCAAAGTTACTTCTACAACGGCTTCGGCGTTGCGGGTAATGCAGCCCCTTCGCGCTTGCGTAGCGAATCACAGGCACCCATGCTCACCTTCTCAGCTTCGGCTTATCATACTTATTACGCTTAATATATTATTATATATTCGCCTTTAGCGACCAGCCTCAGCCGATACGGCTCGCACAGGT